ATGCACGAGTATTATATCAAAGACTTCAAAAGAAAATGCTGCTCTTGCTTTTTCAAGATGAACAGAAAGCAGATGAAGATACCTCATTAGATGAAACCTAACAAATCCACCAATAAATTAGAATAAAATTCTGTTTAGATCTTCTATCATCTTTCTTCTTTAGATGCCTTAATATTTAAAAAATACTTAAAGCTGTTCCCTAAAACAGATTAGGAAAAAAAAATGTGAAAGACAGGTAGAACTACTACTTTGCTTCTCATAATTTCAATAAAGGGTGAACAAATATTTTCCCCAAAATCCTTTTTCTCACCTTTTTTCCTTTTGCCACCTCCCAGCCCAGGAACCAAACACATTTTGGATTGAGCACAAGCCAAGCAGGTACAATAACCTCAGCATTTCTGGAAGCCAAACGCCTGTTACTACATATGGACAAAATGTCAATTGTTTCCAGAAGTACTATTTAGGATTAAATGGTACAGAACCAATATCTTCCTTGACGGGCTACAGGCTACTGACTGGTTTGGGAAAAAAATTATCAAAACTGAACTAAATTGAAGTCTGTATAATCAAGATACTTTTCATCCTTTTAAAAATAAAACTTAAACTTCATGTGAATTTATTGAGGTCTATATGAAGTCCTAAATTTGCTAAAATTCATTGGTAAAAAGCAATGTGTATTTGTTGTCACTACTGAATGGAGCAGTCACTGCATTATCCCCAGAGCCTGCTGAAATGGTAAAACAGGTTTTGACCATCAAACTCTCCATTAAACCCACAAAGAGAATATTTTCTTGATTTGAACCTAACTCAGAATAATAAATATCTCATTCAATTTTGGAGGAACAACCAAAAACCCAAATGCCACTCGCTATAGGGCAGGAAAAGCTTAGCAGAAGAACCCTATGTGAAGAACACATAGGCAGAAGCCAAAACCCAATACCCTTAAAATCCTGGAGGATTTTAAGCTAACCTGAAACCATCTCTAAAGTCACCACCTAGAATGCCAAGCTTCCTTTTCTTCATGACTCTGCAAGGAACACGCAAGCGTAAGGATGCCATATGGTGCACTTCCAGCTAGGAGGATAATGATAATCTCACTGAATGAGAGGGAACACGTAGCCATGGGACGGATGCAAATGCTCATGCACAGTGTCAGCCAGGGTCTCTGCATTACATTTATTGCTACAACGCATGGTAGGACGTTCCACGGACACCTCAGCAGGTCCATCAGGACAAATCCTGCAGCACCAGTGTCCGTAGGCACCACACTGAGCCTCACATCCTCATATGGTACTGAGGAATCAGCAACTTAAATCTAGATTTTTTTTTTTTTTTTTTTTTTTTAAACTTAAACCATTTTCTTCTACACCCACCTATCCCTAATTGTCAGTACTTTTAAGAGCAGGAACACAGCAGCTAACTAAACCTTAAGTGGAAATTACACACAAAAAAATGCAACTCTTCTGTACAAGAGCACAGAAGGGTATTTATATGAGGGAAATTCTGTTTTAGTATTATAGTTTACTTAATAAAGAGTAATATAGTTACAGCATAAGCCAAGTTAAATGTTGTTGTCCCTAGGCCAGTAGAAGCTAACACAGACTGCAAATGAAAAGGATTTTTTCAATGTTTGCTTGCTGTCTCTTGGCCAGACCCCAAACTTCCATATTCATATGAGTTTGAAAAAAGCAACCAAAACCATTCCTGCAGAGACTATTAAACTGCCATTTTTCAGTAAGAGGACTCCATAAATCACAGTGCTGTTGTTCTTTTGAGCCTGGGAAGCTCCATCCCCAGGATATGCTGGGACTGGGGGTTCAGACAGATGACAGCTCACTCAGACCCTCATCCAAGGCACGTGGAAGCCAGTGGGCTTTATACCAGGCACACAGGCTGAAATATGTTACCAAGCATAAATCTTTTTATGTTAAAATGGATAATTAGCAAGGTCTTCAGGACAAATGTAAATCAAGGTTAGGAAGAGCTCCCCACTCTCGGGGGCTCTGGCTGCAGAGAGACAGCTCCTCATCTCGGTACCGACACACGCAGCAGCGCTGCAGGGTTTTCAGACAGATTTTGTGCTGGAAAGCAGGATGGAAAGAACAATTCTTCTTGATACCATGTTCTAGTGCTCATCTAAAAAGCATAAAATACAATATTGTTTTTAAAAATGTGATATACTCGACATCCACATTTCACAGGCTTTGTTTGCTTCATTTTAAACAAATTTAATCCTAAATCCTTTGTTCAAAAAGCATTCTTGGGGTAAAAAGAAATAACATCCTTAAATCTCCATTGCTACTGCAAACTATTGCATTCCAAATGGAAGAAAATAGGGAAAAAAAAAGAGTAGGAAGCAGGAACTAATACTTTTGATATTACAAATTCACATTCTCTGTAATTTATGCTCTAAAAATTCTGCCCCCTCAAGGATTTAATAGCAAAACTGCAAAGAGTATCTATATATTAAAGATAAGGAATATATATATTGTGCTATTTACTGCTTTGCCACAGTACATTATCATAAGCATTTGCACAATAACATGCAATTTAAATCAACAGCTAAGTCTCATTAATATCTTTTGGAAGCAGTTTATACTCAAATTTACTAGAAACCCTCAACTACATAGGGTGCTTCTGGCATTTATGAGAATTAATTAAATTGCACTGTTGAATGCTAGAAAGTATATCGTGTAAATCCTTAAGGGCCTGCTATAAACACAGCGGATTGGATGTGACGATCAAGAAGCCCCATCAGAAAAGAGCAGAAAAGAGCAAGGGGAAGATGTTCCTGCTCAGTGGTAAGGCCAAAGCCAAGAACAAGCGAGGCTGGATGGAAAATGCCATCAAGAGACTGGTCAAGAGAAGCGACCAGGGCTGCAGTGACAGGTCTCCAAATGGAACAGATGGGAGATGGACATCATGGAAAGAGGTAAGACCAGAAACCAATACTCTGCAGATAAACAGCAGAGCTGGAGCAAGCGAGGCGTGCTGGGCAGCAACGAGCAACTGCCTGGACGTCCTCGTTTGCAAATCCAACCTTCGCTCATGCTCCTAAGCCAGCCCTGCTCTGGCTTCATTTCTTAGATTCCTGGGTTGCCAAAGGAGCTGGATGCAGCTGGCAGCACTTGGATGGATGCTCCAGGAGAGGCTCGAAGTGATCAATCAGATACCTGGCTGCAGAACGTGATATGATTTTACACGCCCCATTTTAGCGGAGATGAATGGCACAACCCAGGGCAGTTTGCAGCCTGCTCTCTTAAAACAATCTTTATCGTAAAAGGAATATTAGATTCATAACATTTGGTGTTCAAAGAGTAAATATTCCGCGTTTGGTAACTTATTTAAATTTGCTCTCCTCTTCTAAAGGTACAAAAAAAGTAAAAATGACAAATTATTGAGGTACAACCAGAAATTCAAGTTGGTTCATTGAACCAGACCACACTGCTGCCCCGATTTTTATGCACTGAAGAGAGTAAATCTATACTGAAACTGAGGAAGGTAGAAAGCACATTCTGCTGCTCGTATGAAAAATGAGCAAAATTCAGGGCAGTTGTAATTCACCTGTTTACTTCATGGCACTTTTACCCACATTTCAGAGAGAAACATCTGAGAGATTGTGCCCTTTCAGTTCCCTCATGACATTTATGTTTATTGACTAATTTCAGCCACATTTTACAGAAGCAGAGATCTCAACAACGAGTTCCCAAAGATCGTGTGACCAAAAGCAGGGAGAAGACATCAAAAAAGAATGAACTTCCTTCACCAAGGAAAGGCCACAGGAAATGGAGGCTCTGCTGCTCAAAGAAGTATTTGCAGACCAGCCTCGAGCTCCTTGAGACCTCGAGACCAGCCTTGCAGAGCGGCTCCTTGTGAAGCCCACGCTTGGCTTTGGCCTCCAACAAACTTCTCAGTTTGTCCAGCTTCACTGCCAGCCACCCTAAGTGCCAAAAGTCAGCCTGCTTTGTAAGCAGTGCAGAATTAAACTTATCACATTTGGACCGAGACCTTCAGGCTACTGAACAAAAGATTTGCTCCTATTTCTTTGGGAGTTTTAGCTTTCTGTGCTGCTGCAGAGGACACATCCCTGCTCTCTTAGCAGGATGGTCCAAAGCAATGAAACCAGCAAACTCTGTAAAAAGAGGTGATTTTTTTTTTTTTTTTAATCAGACTACATGATCCAGAAAAAAACTTAATGCAAGGGCATGTGTGCTCACAGCCTCTCCAACAAGGCTTTATCAGGATCACTGCTGAACAGGAGAGGTGCCTGCAGAACCAAAGTAAAAATTAACCCTGGAAGGCCAAAGCTTCACAAAGGCAGCATATACGCCTTTTTTTTTTTTTTTTTTAAACATATATGTAAGGACAGCTCTTCCCCACTCTGGCTTGCTAGCACCCTGCAGGAAAACAAACTCCTACAAGGAGCTGGCAGCCAAGAGCCCCATTCCCGGGCAATGCAGCTGGGAGCGCTCGGCCCCGCGCGGCTTTTCCCACCGCCAGCCCCATTGTCCAGGGATTATCCGGCCCCGTGACCGCTCCGGCAGCACAATGACCGCCCCGAGCCCCTGGGATGTCCAGGAGCTCCCGCCCCGTGGTTCTCCCGCCTGGCCTAGCAAGGCACGAGCAAGCTGAGACTGCAAAAAGCAAGCGGCAATCAGGATGCAAAAACCATTCTGCTGAGTAATTTTTGATTAAATCACTTCTTCTGCAGAGCTTTTGGGTTTGGGGCTATTTTAAGAGCACGCTTTCCTCCAGGCTCCTTTGGATTCTTGAGCAACGCTGAGGCAACAGGCAGATAACAAAGACCTGGGCCCCAGGACTCGGGGTTGGCTGAACTTTTGAACCGCGCCGCTGGGCAATCCCAAATCCTCGCTCCCAAAGCGAGCAGCGAGGGATTTCCTGGCGTTTATGGGGCCTGAATGATCCATGGGTACAAAGGACACCGTCCCTAGCATTCCCTCATCCATGGGCTAGCGCCGGGAATAACGTGCCGAAGAGGCATGGAGGCTTTAGCCCTTCCTCCGGAGATCCACCGCACTACAGAAGTACTCGACCCCAGCGACGGCGACGAAGGAGAAACACTCGTATGCACAGAGGATTTTGAAGTTAATCCTTTCGACGGCCTGCCTTATTCTTCCCGTTACTATAAACTCACGAAGGAACGGGAGGAACTGCCGGTATGGCAAGTGAAATACACGTTTATGGAAAGTTTGCTTCATAATCAGATTGTGATTGTGGCAGGAGATGCTAAGACTGGCAAGAGCTCCCAGGTGAGTATTGGGGAATACTTTCTAATTTAATAGAACATTTAATAACATGTGTTAATTACAAGCTGTTATCACTGAGGTAAATCCTTTCAGGCTTTTGGATGAATAGAGTACTAAAAAATGTCACATTTCAGCCTGCAACTGTCTGATACAGGGTTATCAACAAGTAACAAACAAGATGCAGTTTTGAGATTTTATGTACTAAATTCATAAATGTCAAGCTCCTCAGCTCTGACTGAAGAACACATTCATGAATAATTAGTGTATTTTAAAATTCAGAACCAAATATAAACATAACCTAAAAAAATATAAAATATTCTTGTACTTATCCAAATGTGTGCTGTAAAATTGCTTTCTTTGCATCTCACAACATCATATCTCAACTGAAAAACTTGTCTATCAACTAGATATTTTTCAAACTTATAGAGCAGATCAGCTATAACCCTTGTTTACCAAAGGTTTGAGTGCATTTCCACTGACTATAGAGAAACCAGGGCTTAATCTAAGCACATTATAAAGCATTATAAGTGACTTTACTACTTTATCAATACGTCATTCCCTTCACATTTAGCTGGCAAATGTTTTGTTCAAATGTAGTTTTATTGGCTCTTCTATAGTCATAGCCAACCTTGTCATTGCATCTTTGTGTCCTACACATTGTTCTCACTCAGTTCATCCTTATTCTAAGCAGTTAACACTTCTTTATTATTTCTTTAATATCCCAAACAATAATGTCTTGCCATATAGAGGCCTACACATATATTTGTGTTTTGTGTCCTGTTTTATTTTGACTTTTATCTTCACTCTGACCCAGCAACATATTAAGAAAGGAAGCATGGAAACAAAGATGCACAAGAACCTTGCTTCTTGCACGCCCTATCTTTAGGGTTCTCAGCAAAAATACACATCAAATGTTATATACTGAACATAACATGCACTGAATTGGTTGCTCTCTCAGAATTCCCCGATGATTACTGCTAACTTCCTAGTTTTCCCAGACACATTGCAGCCTTCAGTCCCAGGTCCTCCTCGCATTCTTACCTGACTCCTTGTCTGGTGCACTCGGTTCATCTCCCTCCCACTGTTCACTTATCCATTCTTCCTTAATTTCCTCTTTCTCTCAGTTCTTTCTTCCAGTATTGCATTTACTGACCTCTAGCCTAACCAGCTTGTCTTCTAGTCACCATCTTCACTCTGGCAAACACAGCTCTCAACTATCATGGTTTCATGGAATCAAGCATTTTTGGTACAGGAAACAGAAGCCAGAACTGCTACTTCCCATGTGTTCTTTCTTCACCAACTAACGCTGTCACTTGTGTGTCACTTGCTATTTGTCTTAAGCAATCTTCAATCTTTTTCTGCAAAGCCATACAGTTTGAGCAGGAAGGTGGCCAACATTTAGTCTTGGAACTATGGTATTCCTCTCCAAGGGAGAAGTGATTCCCTCAAGCAGAGGAGAAAGGGGACAGATGTTCTGCTTTCACTTGCATGCAGTGTTGAGAGTAAGAGCTCTCCTCTTCCAAATGTATTTTAAAAATAATGTCCGAGATGACATATTTATGGGAATTTGATCTTGAGAATATGTGCTAGGCACGTTCTTGGAAATGCTACTTTTTGATCTGTAACAGACTTAGGTATGTACTAGGCACTGCTATTCTCAATATTTTCAGCTGTGGAAAGTTCGAGGCATGAAGACACAATTTCTGATGCCAAACAATGAGAAATATGTGCAATTTGGTTGCAGCAAGACAAAATACACACAGCTTCAGGATTTTAACAATAAATTTAGGCTCCCTCTTTCCTTTTTTTTTTTTTTTTTTTTTTTTTTTGCATAAAGTCTTCTATCTCAAGCAGCAGCAATATAAAATGCAAGCAAACCACTAGGATAATAAGGAAAGAAATGGTTACACTCTGCAATGCCTGTGAGGACTTCAGAGCATATTCTTACTTGGGAAACTGTGGTCTGGTTCTGATTACTGCTGTATCAGGAAAGAAATACAGTGGATTTTCAAGCAAGTGATAACATTAAGTGCTAAACCTCTAAGGGAATAAGGATGGCTGTTTCCATCAATAGTTAACCTCTCATTTCAGCCAAGAACAAATACTTCTGCTGCACAATACACAATTAATTTTTAGAACTCCTGTCAGAAGGATATCACTGAAGCCAAGATCTCACTTTGACTCAAAACACAAAGACCCAGCAGGACTGTCAAACTCTACTGGTATAATACATATAGCAACCAAAATCTATCACCTCAGTAAGCAGGGAAGAATTTTGACATATACCATTTCCTGAAATATGAGTGTTCATGACTGGGAATTAGGAGAAAACTTCCCTGCAGGTAAAGCTAGAGGACAACTTTTGGTTGTGGAGGCGTCTCATTATCTTTCACAGTCTTTGATGCTGGCCACAGCTAGAGATCACACATTGAACATGAGGAATCATTCTTTTAATTGGCAATGCCTGTGTTCCTACAAAAGAATTGTTATACACATGCTGGATACACACTGCCTACGGCCGGGAATCTTTAAAGAGGCAGGTCCTTACTCCACCTCTTGCTCACTGTAATTTATACAAAACAAACATTGCCTGATAGTAAACTCCTAGCTAATCACAGCCAGCTCTTTAAGTTGTTCTAAAAGAAGTTTCAAAAGATTTAACACTTTGCTGGCTCCCTTTAAAATAGTTCTAAAAACATAAATAACAAATAATTGTAAAAGTATTAGTTTACATACATTAAAGTAGGGTGATTGGAAAACTAATATTTTCACTAAAGTAACATTCACAATGGTATTTTACATTCTCATGACAACAACACACCAATTTAATATTCTCCAAAATGGATTTCCTACTGTAAACAGAAATTAGAGCACTACTGCTTAATTTTTCAGAGCAGTTCCTTTTCAGCTAGCTTTGTTTACAGACTTAATTAATCCACAATTACACATATTTATTCTGGTATTTACCAGTTTGGAATTGTCCTCTTCCTGGAACATGGTTCTTTTGTCAAGTACCTCAGTATGATTTAGCAAGGACAGGTTTACTGCTGAGCCAGCCGGGAAGCCCTTGCCAGCAGCCACACTAACAGTGTTGGATCAAGCAGCAGAGATACTTAAGGATGACATTGTGAGCGTTACCTGCTCCCCAGAGACCAATTCTGTCTCTTCTGCAGCATATCCAAACTCATGCAAGGTCAGCTGAGAAACTCCTAAATCAACCTTTAAGGTCTCTCAAGCATTTATGAGAGTCAGGGTGCTGACATTTATGCAGGCAGATAATGTGTGTCAGGTGCAGCTCCTCCGCCAGCAGTCGGGCAGATGGTAGCACCAGGTGCTCGGGTTGATAGAGTTCCTCCCCGTCGATTCCAAACTGCCTATTTCTTTTGCACTGCAGTCTCTGCCAAATGTGATAAATATTGAACGTACTTGTTTTCTTATTTACCTGAAGATTCCTCAGTGGTGTGCTGAGTACTGCCTCTCCAACCGCTACCAACACGGGGTGGTTGTATGCACCCAGGTGCACAAGCGGACAGCGGTGTGGCTGGCGTGGCGCGTGGCCGATGAAATGGATGTCAACGTTGGCCACGAAGTGGGGTATTTCATCCCGTTTGAAAGCTGCTGCACAGCAGAAACCATCCTGAGGTGTGTATTTGGTTTTTAATCCTGTTAACTTTATAAATATGTTACCATTTTTTACAAGGAACCTGCAAAAGTCAACAGCAGACAGCACTTGAGTAATTAGCTCTTTATTACATGAATGTAAGAAATTGTACAAGGCATGAAAGCCATTATGTGCCCAATCACGGTAAAGACTTAAAAAGGATAACGTTACAGCTGGTGCAAGTCCTGATTAGGTACCTTAGTATCCGCTCTATTGCTCTAGTTTTTCTTTCTCCTTCTGGTACAGAGTATTCATAACCATAAGAGAAAGTGAGAAAATCTGTCACAGAAAAAAAGCTGGAATGTAGAAGCAATCAAAGTATTGTCTGCTTGAGATGGAAAAAGCCATGGTTAGAAAAGGGTATATTCAATAACAAAAGAGAAATCATTTAGGAGGATTTTTTAAGGGATAAGAAAAGCACCTAACATGTTGAACGTGGGCTGAGAGCAAAAACACAGGGATTCTAACTTTGAGCCACCCCAACAGTTAGTGGAGTTCTATCAAATCACTTTCTTTGGCTCCTTAGCATGGCAGGAATAAGCAATAAAATTTAGATCACGAGCCTCACTCCCAACCACATGAGCTCACACTGATCTCCAGGGAAGCCAAGGGCACTGCTTGCTTCTGAAAATCCAGTTCAATAGCTCTTCATTTCACTTGTCCTTTCTCTTCCATGGAGAACTGGGTAATGCCCTTTCTGCAGCTGCACATGACGTAGGAGGGAGATGAATCTTATACTCTCTTGGATGTCCAAGCAGGTTTCAAGACGGTTCAAAGCTCTGCTGAGCAACACAGCAAAAAATAATCCCCTTGTAAAAGTGTTTGTATAGTAAGAACATTATGAATAACAGAGGGGAGGACATTACAATATGAATTAATCTCTCACCTTGGTTCCAGCATTGCCTCAGTATGTGTGTACTTTTTGACCTACCTAAAAGTATTAGTTTCTAGCTCAAGGATTAGTTATGCAAGATGCATAGATAGTTTGGAAGATGAAAAGCAATATATGTCACAATCTTAAGCTACAAGTATTTCTTTTTTTTTTTTGCCTACAGCATCCTTTAAAACATATTGCCACTTACTGTCATTGACTTTTGTTTTTAGCTATTTAAAAATAGCTTTAAAAGTATAATTCTTTTGAGACTGTATTTGAAATAAAACTATCAAAGAGGCTGTATTTTTTATCAAAACTTTATTGTTAGAACAAAAAGAACAAGGTCTTTGCTGTCCTCAGTACCCTGAAATAATATTGCAGAATCAAATCTGAATATTCAAGCTACACATTTGGTAGCTTTCTGCTTTTATATTGCAGATACTGTACAGACGACGTGCTGCAAAGAGAAATGATGTCTGTTCCTCTCCTCAACTACTATGGAGTCATCATCTTGGATGATGTGCATGAAAGAACTGTTCCAACTGATGCACTACTTGCCCTGCTTAAAGTTGTCTTAGTATCACGGCCAGAACTGAGGCTGGTGATACTCACTGCTCCCCATATGTCCAGCAAATTGCAGAATTATTACGGCAGTGTCCCCATCATACGAGTGCAAAGCAAACACCGCACAGAGGTTGTATACACTTGTGGCATCCAGAAAGACCACTTTCTGTCTGCACTAAGGCTGCTCTTTGAGATACACCATGCGAAAGAGAAGGGTGATATTGTGATCTTCCTGGCATGCGAACAAGTAAGTTCCTGATTCTAATAGTTCTGATTTTAATCAAGGAACAGTTTGTAGACCATATGAAAACTCAAATGTGAATATCTTGTTGCTGATATCTACGTTCCTGGACATGATAATAGTTTCTGTCACTTCAGGTTCTCCATATTACTCCATGCAGACACTGTGACATGCATACTGCTTTACCACAGACATGGCATAGACTACTGCAAGGAATTACCAGATGTTCTCTAAGCTTAGAAAAATGCCATCAGTCTTCTCTGATCTGGAATATGAAAAGTAGCAAAGGTGGCATTCATGACGAGGACCATTGATTCAAGGAGTTAAGACACTGCAGACTATTCTGGCATTGGGTAGATCACAATGTTATCACCCTTCTGCAGTAACACACATGTCCAGCATGCATATAAGTCCCATTTTTAAGTTTAAACCTGCCTGCAAGTTTTTTCAATGTTTGGTGCTTCTATTTTTGCTTGCAGACTTCTCAGCCATTTGTATGCTCCAACATCTTTAAAGCTTTTAAAGCTGGTGTTTTGTTAACACAGCTTAAGAACATTTTCTTGACTTTGTCCATCTTCACAGAACTTATTAACCCAGTTGGCAGCGGCTGCCTGTGCCAGGTGTGCGCTGTGCATACACAGAGCTCACTGCTCTCTCGAGGACATTGCCACCCAAGGCTCCCCTTGCCCAGCTTCAGCATTTTGAGGGCACCAGCACGTGTCATGCAGCACTCCCAGGTCTAAGCACACAACATGCCCACCAAAATAACTCCTCTTCAGCACTTACTCACCAATGCGAGCCCTACAAACATGAAGCTTGATCCTTGCTGCTCCCATACAATCCTTACGGACATCTGTCTTTCCCAGAGCTTGGCTTGGCCATGGTTAAAACCAGAGAAAAAATGTTTAGAAAACTGCACAAAAGACAACATTTCAAAAAAGAGTACAGCCATTCCCTAGTCTATATATACTGTAATAGAGTCGCTGGGTTCTTGCACATAAATCTATTCCATTTTGTTTTTCCCTTTAATTTAGATGATTCATGTTGGATTTAGCTGTTGTTATGGTTTGCTACCTAAAGTTCATTTTAGAATAAATAAATGAGTTTGAAATTAGATATTGATATTTTTAATACTCATAAGAATTTTTCTTCCGATTATAGGAAATTGAGAAAGCCTATCAAATTATCAAACGAGAAGAGTCTAATTTAAATCCTGACCTTGGAGAACTCATCCCAATTCCTTTATACCCCACAAGAAAAGACTTCATTCCCAAACCAAAACAAGATAAACAGAAATGCTGCAAAAAGTACAGAAGAAAAGTGCTACTAACTACAAGTTTTGGAGAATCTTTAGTTTGGATAAAAAATGTAACATTTGTCATTGATGTCGGAGTTGAAAGAAGGAAGGTTAGTAAAACAACCAAAATCAGTAAGTCAACAAAGAATTATGTGGGAGGGGAGAGGGGCAGGTAATGAAATGTGGATAGTTTCTAAGAGATCAAGTATTTTTCCATTCTTAAGTCAGATTCCACAAGATTTTTCCACATTTGTATTACCAAAATATAACTATTTTGGAGACATTTTATGTGAAAACAAAGTAAGAAAGACCCACTTCTTAAAGAAGCTCCTACTCTTTCCGCATACACGTTTGGAAGGTGCTAAGGACACCTACATAGTGTCCAAATGCCTCAAAATGCTGAAATTCATTGAAATAATCTGTAATCACAATCAGTTAGTTGGCCTTGGGTTAGTTTAGACAGTAATATGGAAACAAATGGTTCCTCACACTTTAATTGCAAGAAAGTGTGAGAATTACCACACAGACACACATACACACAAAAAGTCAATATTTTTTCTGAGAAGAACTGAAGTTTAAAAGCAGTTTTCATGTGACCATGCATGGCCTAAATTATTGCTGAAGCTATAGCCATTTTCAATGAATGACAATGAATGAATCTTACTGCCACTTTTATCTGTAGCCCAAAATAAAATTAAGTGTTTGCAGACTTCTGTGAATCAAAATATGAAGTGATGGAAATTAATTAGTTTCAATGTGTTCCTGATGGCCTTCAAATCACAATTCTATCAAATTCTGTCAATACTCTATCAATAACACAATTTGTACTCTTTAATTGAATTACTTCTTCATAGCCATTAAAATTAGTTATATAATATTCATCCCTCAGTGATTGACTTTCAGCCACATGGATTAAATATCAATTCAACGTAGAGGGAACAGATGAGATACATGCAGAGGGAAATCTCAGGTACGTACTTTAATAGGGACATGTTGAATTTACACAGCAGGGAAAAAGTTTAAGCTCCTTAATTTAATCAAAATAAAAGCTGGATTAAGAAAAATTACAAGGTGGCTCTGTATCCCTTTACATCTTTGTCACAGTCCCTGTTTTTTAGGCTGGATTGAAAGATTTTGGTATTAACAATAAAAATCTGAAGTTACGATGGAGCAGAACATTAGACAGTGTCAGGACTGTCATAGGAAGAAACAAACGAACTTTCTGATGCATTTCCTGATATATGGATATGTGTGGTATGTGTTAGCAAGGTGCATTTATTTAGAAAGAAACATTCATCTTGGAATATACTTAGCAGCTATTGAAAAAGTTAAGTCTCTGACAATTTACTGAAGTGCTCACTGCTCTCATTGCAGAGCCACTTAAATATGTAATGGAGAAAGAAATGGAGCTGCTATTACACATTCTGTAAAATAACCTAGACGAGAATTCTGCATGGACCATGAATATTTGCATTGTCTGATGCCTAATATCTCTCTCATTTAAAGGTATACAATCCTAGAATCAGAGCAGACTCTGTTATAATGCAGCCTATCAGCAAAAGTCGAGCAGAGATGCACAACCAAATTCTGGGAATGTCTTCATCAGGTAGAATTACTAGCTCAAAATTCAAATTAATTAGCTCAAAGAAATAACGAAAGTCAACAAAACAATTTTAAAAATGCTTTTTTTTTTCCATGAAATGTCTTCCAGGAAAACTCTTCTGCTTGTACCCTGAAGAATTTACATACAAAGAAATGAAACCACATCTACCAGCCAAAATACAAGAATCAAACCTAACCAGCCTGGTTCTCTTCCTAAAGAGGATGGATATAGCAGGCTTGGGACACTGTGACTTCTTAAGTAGACCAGGTAATGATAATGCAGCTATTCTCCAAGTGCTTTATGCTTTGCTGGTATTTAAAGATGAATTTTGCTGTTATTCACAGTGCTGGTTTTAACAAATATGACGTACTTAAATTATTACTGCTCCCACCTTTACCTTTACCTAGTAGCCCTGACAGTTCTGAGTACGATAGTTGTACTTACAAAAACTGCAGTGTTGCTCTGAAAAATCCTTCAGAAAGTATCTGAATGGAATTGAATGAAGAAAAAAAAATAATATTTAGAGCATATTCTCATGTAGTGTTCATATTATTTTCCTGAAGGCTACAAAGAACACTTGGGTCCCATTGTACAAGGCATTGTACAGATATGCTCCTTTAATCAAAAGTGTACATTCCAAATAAACTGCTAGTGTTACCTAGGAGATTCATTTAGAGAAGCACAGCTTTGTTCTGATCCCCCGGCATCTCATATCTCAAATTTAAAATAAGCTCTTGCCCAAGGATATGATTTATAAAAATAAATGGAAATAGCTTTCAATACTAGTCAGAAAATACCCTAATTTTGAGGGTAGAATGCAAAGAAAGAGATTGGTTTTTTATTTTACTGACTTATTTTTTTGTTTTATTGCACTGAAAGGATATTCGTTTTTGTTCTAATCTACCACAAAATCCATCTAATTGCAAACTCCTCTGTGGATCTGAAGCCTTTTAAAAATGAGAGAAATAATACTGCTGCCTTCATTGGTTTGGGAATGATGGATTTGGGGATTTCTTGCTAGCTTTATTTGTGACTCCTAAACTGCCCTCCCTTTCCTCATATATATACACACACACAGCAAATTAGATCACTAGTCCTTATCATGTTGGGCATCATAACTAATCAGTAGCAAAGAGTTTAGCTCCCACTGTTGGGTGCAGTGATATATTCTAAGTGTAATTCTTAGGTGCAATACACCCCTGGGCAGGTGACCAGTGGAAACATGTCTAGAAGAAGGGTGAAAAAAATCTTGGTCAATTTGACAGGTAACTAATGCAAGATAGATGAGGATCAGGTGTTACCTCCACTCCTGACTCCAGGAAACTTTCATGGAAAATGGTTATGGATTACAGCTGGCTTCTATTCAAATCTAGAAAGTGTTTCACTAAAATCTGTTTTTTTTATATATATATAATATATATAAATAAAATATATTATATAAATATATACACACAATATATGTATATATACACACACATATATA